TAACAAGGGTGTCATCTACAAACCTAATCCAATATGTAGAGGACACCTCACAATCTCTCACATTGCATTATAGATCCTGTATATGTCCTCCTAACTAAGAACCAAGGACTGATGTCCCTTTCTAGATAGCAGGAGAATGTGACCTTGTTCATGCTCTTTGATCTCTCAGTAGAGTTTGCTACAACTGACGCTGATTTCCCCTTGGTGGGTTGGGATCTGGGGGTTGGTACAGTGGTTCTGATTCCCTTGTTGAGCCAGTTCCAGAAAAAGTGACAAAGGAATTTTGCTTGGCCTATTGGTAGTTGAAATCTATCTTGTACCCTATAATATATGTAATCTCTATGAAATCATTATCAATCATGTCAGTCATCAGATCCTGACTATCTCAGAAAAAGCTAAATGGGGTTTAGCACTTGGATGGGAGATCTCCAGGAGATCCCAGGTCTGTAGGCTACATTGAAAAGTTTAAAAACATCCTGGAATAAGGCAATGTTTACCAGTTCCATATTGTTACAAGAAAACTATGTGTCTATGTAGTCACTTAATTTTACATGCTAGCAAACTAATGTTTAGGATCATCCAATGCAGATTAGAATTCTGCATTGGAAAAGAGATGCCAGATGTTCCAGCTGGCTTTAGAAAAGGCCAAGGAATATGAGACATTATTGCTGATACAGGCTGAATAATTAAGAAAGCCAAAAAGAACTCATACATGCTTCATTGATTATAGAATGGCCCTCAGTTGTATCAATCACATCAAGCTGTGGAATGTGCTTAGAAAAATGGGAGTTCCAGAACATCTCATTGTCCTTATGTGAAACCTATATACAGGTCAGGGAGCCACAGCATGGACAGAGCATGGTGAAACAGACTGGCTCCAGGTTGGCAAAGAGTGACATGAGGCTGTGAACACTCCCCTTATTTATTCAGCCTACAGTATATGCTGAATATGTATATTGAGAGAAACTGGATTGGAAGAAGATAAGCGTGGTTTTAAAACTGGAGGAAGAAACATCAATAATCTGCTCTATGCTGCTAGCACTACTCTAATAGCCAAAAATGCAAAGGATCTGCAAGATGTAGTAATAAAAGTCAAGAAGCATGGTGAAAAATGGGACTAAGATTAAAGATAAAGTAGAGGAAACTACATAATGATAACAGGTACAACAGCAGTCTTAGACTTGACAACAAAGACACTGAAGTGGTGGATAGCTTCTGCCTTTTAGGACCAACCATCAACAATAAAGGAAAAAGCAACAAGGAAATATATAGTAGATTAGCATTTGGTAGAACAGTTATGAAGACCTTGGCCTCCTGAGAATGCTCTGGATGGGCAAGAAGGCAAACAAATGGATCATTGAACACAACCCCAAGTTCTCATTTGAGGCACAAATGACCAGGCTTAAATTATAACATTTTAGATACATTATGCGAAGATGTAGCTCTCTGGAGAAGGCTCTAGTGCCTTCTGGAGTAGAAGGAAAGAGAAGAGGAAGATCAGCAGCAAGATGAATGGACTCAGTTACAGTAGTGATGGGTTTTAGCTATTCTTTCCACTGAAATCAGAAGTTATGCCTATGTTTAATTCACACTTGGATGAGTTGGATAAGGGTCAGTACGCTGAAGCTGAATTTCACTAGGATAGTAATGCTGTAAATGGCAAGTTCTCTGGTATGAAAATTAAGAGAGGAAGCCTGCTTTACATATAGGCCTGCCTTACCTCGGGACATTCTTATGAGGAGCAGATTTATAGTCTCGGAAATTGCAATCTCTAAATACAAGTTGCAGCTTGTGCAAAATTTAATTGTGGGTTTAGGCTGGCTGGCTGACTGGCACAGCATGAGTCCTTCAAACATTGCACAGCAGAGACAGCCTCTGAGCCCTTCAAAGCTGGCCAGGTCAGGAAACAGACACTTCAAGGTCTGTAAGAATGCTACTTTATTGTTTCAGGGTATAATAACAGAATCTTGAAAGCCCACCAGAGTTTCCTTTGCCCCTTCTTATACCATGTACAATCAAAGCAGAGTTATTTTGAGTTTCTCATGCTTTTCCCTTTTCCAGGACTCAGTTGTCATTTCTTTTCCCTTAACAGCTCTTGGGGGTCAGGATTATCTCCACATTGCTCTCATTTAGGGTGGGGAGGGCAGTACTTTCATCTGTGTCTGGGATTCTGATTTAGTTCCTTGCCTACGAGCCTTGGTTCCATCAAGCTACCCTGCTCTCTATTCCTCTGACTACAGCAAGTGTCACCACTAGTTGCTGTTGGTCATTGAGACCAATTCAAAATGTTAATTTTGATACATACAGGTATAAATGGCTAAATGGAGAATGACTACCTGCTGGAGAGGTCTTCTTACTGATTCCATCGTCAACTAAAGCTCTGACTTCTGCAGCTCTTTAAGATTCTCCATGTGGAGAATCCTCAATTGCAGAGAAATAGACCTCTCTGTCAGTGAAGATTCTTTTTGCTAGGGGATTTGATTAATAATTAGGACTATCTGGCAGTGTACAATGGTGTAAGGGTTATGCTTTGTAATAAAAATGGAAAAATGGATTGAAAGGTTTTCCGTTTAACAATTTTTCCTAGTAGAAATCCCAAATAGAACCTACAGGATCTCCCTAAAAATAAATTATCTTTGTAAGCATCGCTGGAGGTGTCTTGATCAATTATAGATAGTAAGGTGTTAAAAGCTTCCCACAGACGTTTTCAGAGTCCAAAAATATTAACATGTTCATTTCTTTCACAAGCTATGTCACTACTTGTCCACATATCTATAGCCATATTTCAGCATTATAGTACATTTCTTTGGACCAATTGAAATTATTCTAGATAGTGTGCATAGCACATCAGTGGCAGATAAGGGCATTGGGGGTTGGGAATCTAACTCAATAAGGGTGTCTGAAATGACAAGATGGTGGTTGTGACTTCACAAATGAAGCCCTTCCACTTTTTGACATCTGTGCAACGTGTGCAATATACATTAAAAAGGGTGGGCTTTGATCACATGGTTGCATCCATCATCTTGACTTTTTTGCCTCCTTGAAAGGAATGGGCCCAGTTCCAGAAAGGGATCCTAGATGGAGCTTCAGAATAATCGTTTTCTGTCTCCATAGATTACTATCCCAGCTCAAAACTCTGCAGGAAGTTATCCAGGAAACAGCTTTCCTTCTAATGATATTTCACCTTCTTTCTAATGATCAATACAGAGCAAGAGTGATCCCAGCAATACCTATGATGAAGATAATTTGGCTGAGTGTATTGTCGATTTTTTTATAGCTGGGACAGAGACAAGTGCCACCAGTTTGCAGTGGGCACTGCTTTTCATCACAAATCATCCAGATGTCCAAGGTGAGAGTTAGATGATTAAAGAGGTGTTCTTTACCCCATGGGAAGGAACTTATTTTCTCTAGCAGGTAGTTGTCATCTTTCTTTGAATTCATACAGGGCAGATGATGAACATCTAAAATAATGGGGAAATTTGGGAAAAGATGCCTTCAGACTTAATAATCCAATTTAGACCTTAATGGAATCTACTTCAAGCAGGATGCATTTATTTTTTATATTTGGGAAGCACTAGAAGACAGTGGAATAACTTTGATTTTTATCCAAAGAGGAGGAAAAAATCACATTTCCTTCTCTAGTCAACTTTGATGCTACATGTTCTGAGTAAACATGTTTAGTGGAATTTTAGATATGTCTACTCACAGACAGGTCTCTTTGAATTCAGTGGAACTTACACCTAGTGTGGAATAGGATTGAAATCTTAATAGAACAAGATCTTCTGCAAGTTCAAGAGATATTTAATGTTTTTTGTCAGATACTTTCACATTTTAATCACAATTATCATTCTTTAATATATAATGAGGTCATTGAACTGGTAATAATTTATTAACTGTGTTTTCATTTTAGAAGAATGTGTGTATAAGAGAGAAGTTTGTAAGCATATGTTTTTTGTACTTGTAAAAGATACCAGTGTAACTTATCATATCCTCAGACAGGATTTATTTATTTAACACAGAGTTTAAATATAACTATTCCCCAATAATCTAGAAAGAAGATGTTGAACCTAACATCTCATTTAATTCCCATTCTGATCTATACAATGAATTCCATTCTTTTACTGTAGTTGTGCCATTTACCAAAATGGCAATGATTATTTCCCCAGCATTGATTTACAGCATCTTCTAAAGTCATCCAGTAATCATTATGACAAAATAAGAATAAGTCATGTAGCTTGTGTTGTGATGCTGTAGCATATACTTCATCATTTGTATTCCCCTCGCGGACATTTACAAGACAGCAATGGCTGGGTGATGCTGTGAAGATGTAAGTTAATGGCTACTGTCTAGGAACGTCTTTTGCCCTTTCGCTGCAGGCAGGCAATTACAATGCCATGTGGGTCCAAGTAGTAGAGAAATATTCAACTGTCACCTGAACTTTATGCCTACAAAGTAAGATGCATTGAGAGTGAGTGAGGCTGGATCAGTTATTTCCCTAGCTCCCAGGAGCCATTCTGTCAAGCGGAAGAGTTAGAACAAGGAAGTCTTCCATTTCTCCCTCTTACTCCTTAGAAACTTTTTTCTATTTTTCTCCCCTTTTTTCTGCTCCCCATCTGCACATCACCTGCCATAAAAGTCCCCCTATCCTTACCTGCATATTATAAAGTCAGTCAGCACTGGGAGACAGTGTCAGAGATGGTAACATCTCTTTGGTTGATTAAATGCTGTCAAGTTGGTGTCATTCTTAGTGACCTTATAGATAGACTTTCTCCATGGTGATCTGATTTTGTCCTGGCCTCTTAGGTCTCTCAATGGTGAATTCATTTTCTTCTAATTGAGTGTATCCACCTTGCTGCTGGTTGCCCTTTTCTTCTTTTTCTTCCACTTTTCCCACCATGATGGACTTCTTAAGGGAGGTCTTTACATAATGTGTTCAAAAAGGATAGTTTGTGCCTTGGGTGAGAACTCTGGATTGATTTGTTCTATGATCCATTTGTTTTCTTGGATAACCTTGGTATTTTCAAGAATCTTCTCCAACACTGAAAATTCAAAAGCATCAATATTCTTCCTATCCTGCTTCTTCAAAGTCCAACTTTTGCTTGCCTCAGCCAAGACCTGTTCCTTGGTATCAGGAGTGGACATCCCATGGACCACAAGTTTCCTTTTTTTCTGAAGCCTCTGGAGGGCCCCCCCCCCTTTTAGTGGGAAATCAAATATATATCCATTAAAGTTAATAACAAAAAAGCCCAATGCAGGCCAACATTCCAGTTCCATGCCTTAAATACTGTCTTTTCGTTTGATCATTGTCATGTCTGTTGTGGCTCAGTAGTATGGCTCTTGGCTTAAGAAAGATTGCTCACCTCTGCTCTGTTAAGACGGACCTGCTTCATCTTAACGGAGGCTGAAAAGAGAGGGGTATGTGCTTTTGGTATTCTACTCTTTATTCTTCTGTTATCTCTAAGGTAGATCAGTAGGTTGCATAAGATCATATGGATTCATTTCATCCAGGGTTGTTATAGCTTTACTCCCAGGACAAATAATTCTTCTTGGTTTAATTTTGTTTTTCTGAAATGGATCCCTAGTTAGGACCTCAATGATACCTTTAGGTAAATTTTAAAGCAAGAGCAAATTTCACTTCCATAATAGTTCACGGATCCCCTCTTGCTGATTCAGCTGAATTCTTAAAGAGCTAGGGAAGTAACTGAGCAATGTAAAGATGTCAGTGTTACTTGTCTTCTCATCACTGGGGTAAGATTGCCTTATTATCTTCTTCTCTCCATGCAAATTGCTCATCCTGTCTTTTGAATTTTCCATTGTAGACAGTGATTCTTCAACCTGATTTCTCCTTTGTTCCTTTTTCTTCTCTCTTGACATCCCAAATTGAGACCCTTTCTTTGTTACATAAAGCCCTTCAATTAGTTTTTTCTTTTTGGCATCTAGAAGGAGGGATAGAAGTAGGACTCTTTCCAAAACATCCACTCCTTGTGGGTTGAGACTTCTAGGGAAATGTCTTTGTTTTTGAGATCTTAGTTTATTCCTTCCAAAGAGCAAGGTAGCACTCGAGACATTTGTTTTAGAGAACATTCCTTGAAGTGGTTGTGTAATGTAACAAACTGGCCTTGTCTTCACACATCCTTGTTTGGAAAAGAACTGATGGCTCTTCTGATGGAGTTGGTTTCAGCTCTCATTATCCCTGACATGGTGGCTGGGGCTACTGGGACTGCCTCAGATAACATTTGGAGGAGAAGTTCAACATCCCTATATTATAGACTTAGTTTTTGCCTCTGCTGACATAGTTTTTGACCATTATAATTCAGTTATGACTCCTCACCGTTATTAAATCCCAGTATCTGGACCACTGGATAACATCAAGAAGAACATCTTCATCTCTGAATTCTTTTTCTCCTTATTTCCCTGACAGTGGTCCAGCTGCTGAACTCTATTTACTGATCTTGTTTTGTTGCCAGAGCCTGCATGGGACTGAGAAATAAAGATTATTGGTTACATTTTGGCCTTCAGAAGGAAGAATTGCTCCCTAGCTTAGCCAGGTTGTTCTTCAATTAAAAAGGTACCTCCCTGTTGGCAACACAAAGAGCACACAGGGATCTGGGCCCTGATGAATAAGATGAAGTCACAGATAAAAAAACACTTTGTTCTCTTGTTTTCGTCAGATAAAGTGTACAAGGAGATGGAAAATATTTGTTGTTCCTCGGGTTCAATCTGCTATCAAGATCGAAAGAAACTACCCTATACCAATGCTGTGATTCATGAGATCCAGCGTGCCTATTATGTCTTAAGTTTTGGCCTTGCCAGAAGATGCAGGAAGGATGTGAACATGCTTGGTTTTCACATTCCAAAGGTACATAGAGATACACCACATTTATACACCATTCAAAAGAGACAATAAAAAAGCTAAGAACAAGACGAAACGACCAGAACACAGCAACCAACACTCAGAAAAGGAGGGATTAACATCAGACAAATAATCAAGCAGAAAATAGTACCCTAATCAAGGAACTACCAAGGAGAAAACCATAGCCCCGCCCACACTGGCGGGGGAAGACACTGTATGTAAACAGAGAGCAAACTCCCACTCACTCACATCTGTGCTAATGTGAGTGAGTGGGAGTTTGCTCTCTGTTTACATACAGTG